TTTCAACAAAAAGTAGGAAACCATGAAAATGGACAAAATCTGGCTACCAGTATTTAAAACCTCAAAAATTACAACAGCAAAACAACAGAGAGGAAACAAACAAGGACATCTAATCACCTCTCAACAAAAGATTCCCCCCAAGCACTTCCAAGCCATTAAATGCTAATCAAGGTGGTCAGTTGAAACATTCACACCTAGCTCCAGCAGACAAAAAGTCCTTTGTCCCATCGTGGTCATTCCACAGATATATAAACCCATTTTCCTACTTCCATCAGACCTCACTACCTCTCAGGATGCTTGCCATAGATGCAGGCGAAATGTTAGGAGAAAATGCCTCTAGACCATGGCCATATAGCCCGAAAAAACCTACAACAACCCAATATTTACACTTCCGAAGTTCTTTTTGAGAATGGATATTTCCCCCTTTCTTGAAACTGGGAATGGAGGAAATCACTGACATTTACAAGAATGAGCCACATAAAAACCAGCCAGCATTTGGACTGCCCTAACTCCCCCCATCCACCCCTCCATTAAAAAAAACCAGGCATTATTGCTTGGAGAGGGTAGGGTTAACTTTGCTTGCCCAAACCGCCCGGTCTCTGTGTCGGGAGAGCCGTAACAAGGGGCTGGAATTAGCTAAGCTGTCCTTGAGGACCACCCAAGAAGAACTAAATATGGGGTTTCTTTTAAGTGGGGTTAGGATCAAAGAATAAAAAGAGATTAGAGCCAATATAAGGAGCTAAAGGGGGAACATCTGGTCCTTTTCAAAAATCACCCATGGAAAGGTAAAGCAGGCGCTGGAAAAAGGAACGGCAGTGCCGATTCTCAACGTTCACCAAGTAAAGAAGAGGAGAAGCAGCCAAGCAAGGCCTCCAGTGGACATGTCGAGGTGGAAAAGTGTGTCAACAAAAAAAGATGGAACCACTAGCTTGGAGATCTTGAGGTGCATCCACAGTGTAGAGGTAATACAGATTGATGCCACTACTACCATGGTTCAATCCTAGGGAAATCCTTGGATCTGTACCTTTAGAGGCCTAAAGAGAAGTTCTCAGAGGTTTCCACCACAAAGAGTCTTTAGATGGTTTGAGAAGTACAACAAAGTATTTTATTAATGAACAACCAAACAGAATCTTCTCTTGTCTTCAGTAAAGTTAAGCAAATGATTCCAAGCTTTTGGGCAACTGGTGAATTCCTAAACTTGCCCACAAAGGACAGGCAACTATCTTCAATAACTTCTTCTTTAAAGGAAAAACCCCTTTTTAACTTCTCCCAGGCTGACTGTAAACTTAAACCTAACTGATGTGGGCTCCACTACCGGGTTGAACTGTGTCTCAAAGCACCAAGTGGACCTACCAGCAAGGCCTGTAGTCTCTTCAGCTGGAGTTCTTAGATGCTCAAAGCTGTTTTTCCCTCCAAAATTCCTCAGAGTTTTAGGGTTGTTTTCCCTGGGAATCTTTGGGAATCCTTTTGCTCTTAAGACTGTTCTCCCCCGGAGGTCTTAAGGGTTGAAGCCTTTGTACAGGAGAACTCTGTACACGTCCTGTACATTGACTTTCCTTGCTGAGACTGACTGAAAATGGCTCCCTTCCCTTCTCAGTTATCCTGAACAGGGGGCAAAACTAAACTTAACGATGATGGACAGGGGGCCTGCCCTATAACTGCAAACTTTAACAGGAAGCCACCCTTCTGCAGAATCCCAAGCCTTGGGCTGCAAGCAAACACTTAATACAAAGCAAATAAAGTTGGAGCTTCTGGTACATCTGTACCAGCACAAGCAGAGAAGACTAAATGTCTTCTAAAACTACACTTCCAGGATTTCATAGCATTGGACCGTGGAAGTTCAAGCGATATCAAACTTCCATCGTGTAGATACACCCTGAGATCATCTGCGGAGGCCCTGCCACATGTCTCATCTTCTCCTTGGATGGTAGGATGATGGTGCGTATGGATGACAGAGCTCTCTTAGTGTCTGTGGAATTCCTCTCAAGGCAGGTCAGTCCAGCTTCTCTCTAGTGAGGAGTGTTGGTTGCTCTTCCACTCGAGTCTTTGGCTCTTCACATTTGTGTTTGTTCTAGATATTTTTCCTTTGAATTATTTTTTTAAAGAATTTGGAAATTATTTCAGTGTTTTTTGGTCATATATTTTTAAAGAGTCTTTATCCATTTTGCAATGGTTCGAGGGTCAAGAGGCGACAAACAAACTCTGAAGGAAGGAAGGGGATGAAGGAGATGGATCCAGAGGAAAGGAGGGAGAGAGTGAAGAAAGGAATGGAGGAAAACAAGGGAGGGAGGAGAAAGAGAGAAAGCAGAGATGGAAAGAGAGAGGAAGAGGCAGAGGAAGGGAGTGAAGGAAGGAAGCAGAAAGAGCAAAGGTAGAGATGGGGAGGGAGGGAGTGGGGAAGGAAGGAAGGAAAGAAGGAAGGAAGGAAACAGAAAGAGCAAAGGTAGAGATGGGGAATAGGGAGGGAGGGAGGGAGGAAGGAAGGAAGAGAAGGAGAGAGGGAGGAGGGAGGGGAAGGAAGGAAGAAGGAAGGAAGGAAGCAGAAAGAGCAAAGGTAGAGATGGGGAGGAGGGAGGGGAAGGAAGAAAGAAGGAAAGAAGGAAAAAGAAAGAGAAAGGGAGAGGGAGGGAGGATGGGGAAGGAAAGGAAGAGGAAGGAAGGGAAGGAAGGAAGGAAGGAAGGAAGGAAGGAAAGGAAGGAAGGAAGGAAGGAAGAAGAAGGAAGAAGGAAGGAAGGAAAGGAAGGAAGGAAAGGAGGGAGGGAGGGGGGAGGGAGGGAGGAAGGAAGGAAGGAAGAAGGAAGGAAGGAAGGAAAGAGGAAAGGAGAAGGAGGAAGGGAGGGGAGAGGAAGGAAGGAAGGAAGAGGGGAAGGAAGGAAGGAAGGAAGAAGAAGGAAGGAAAGAGAAGAAGGAAAGGAGGAAGGAAGAGAGGAAGACAGGAAGGAAGGAAGGAAGGAAGGAAGGAAGGAAGGAAGGAAGGAAGGCAAGGAACGAAGGAAGGGAAGGAGGAAGGAAGGAAGGAAGGAAGGAAGGAAGGAAGGAAGGAAGGAAGGAAGGAGAAAGAGCAAAGGTAGAGATGGAGAGGGAGGGAGGGGAAGGAAGGAAGGAAGGAAGGAAGGAAGGAAGGAAGAAAGGAGGAAGAAAGGAAGGAAAAGAAAGAGAAAGAGAGAGGGAGGGAGGGAAGGGAGGGAGGGAAGGAAGGGAGGAAGGAAGAGAAGGAGAGAGGGGGGAGAGGGAGGGAGGAAAGAAGAAGGAGAAGAAGGAGGAAGGGGGAGAGGAGGGAGGAAGGAAGGAAGAAAGAAGGAAGGGAAGAAGGAAGGAAGAAGGAAGAAGGAAGAAGAAGGGAGGGAGGGAGGGAGGAAGGGAGGGGAGGGAGAAGGAAGGAAGGAAGGAAGGAAGGAAGAGGGAGGGAGGGAGGGAGGGAGGGAGGGAGGAAGGAAGAAAGGAAGAAGGAAGGAAGGAAGGAGGAAGGAAGGAAGGAAGGAAGGAAGGAGGAGAAAGAAAAGGTAGAGAGGGGAGGGAGGGGAGGGGGAGGAAGAAGGAAGGAAGGAAGGAAGGAAGGAAGGAAGGAAGGAAGGGAAAGAGAGAAGGCAGAGATGGACAGAGAGAGGAAGACTAGGACGCAATGGAACAATGGCTTCAAACTACAAGAAAGGAGATTCCACCTGAACATTAGGAAGAACTTCCTGACTGTGAGAGCCGTTCAGCAGTGGAACTCTCTGCCCCGGAGTGTGGTGGAGGCTCCTTCTTTGGAAGGTTTTAAACAGAGGCCGGATGGCCATCTATCGGGGGTGCTTTGAATGCAATTTTCCTGCTTCTTGGCAGAATGGGGAGGGACTGGATGGCCCATGAGGTCTCTTCCAACTCTGATTCTATGATTCTAATTTCCAGCAGAAACCTTTCATTTCGACAGGGTTCACTAATAGCCATGATTCTTGTGGATCATCATCATCAGTGGTAGTAGTAGTAATTACATTTCCCATTTCTGCCCTAAATTATGATTACCCTCCATTTCTTCTGCCCTTTGGCTCATAAACAGTGTGTGCATTCCTTGGCTCAAAAGCCACATCTTCCCTTCTCCCCAATGGCTTTGTCTTACATGCCGTAAATTATCAAGGGAGAGAGTGTTAATGCCTAGACACTGAGGTGTGAATAATTACCTCCCCCTCCAAAAAAGAAAAAAATCAGAGTCTTGCAAGGGAGGGGAAGGGCCGATCTCTATGATGAATTGTCCAGTCGTATTATTTTGATCTGGGCTTGACAAGTTTTCTCGGAGCGCTGAACTCTCGGATAAATACATCCCCAACCAGCTGTTCAAACAACGTGATTAATTAAACTGATTCCATGTGAAAAACAACACCAACTCTTGCTCTCCAATTGCAAATCATTCCCAATAAATAAGGAGAGCCGGCAGCTGGGGGTTATGGATGGCTTTTGGGATGATGAATCAATATTGCAAGCAGCAGCCCACATGTCTAGGGGACATTCCAGAGACCTCCATGTGATGAAGGATTTTTTGGAGGGAGAGAAACACATGTGAGAACTCTGGATACAAGGACAAGGCATGAGTTATTCCATCCTGAGCTTCAGTTGTAAAGAATTGGGAACAAAGGGATGGCATCCTATGTGTAAGTTACACCAATGCAATTGAATATTTCTGGTCAATGCAAACATCCTTTAGTTTAAGATTGTCGAAATTGAGTTAGAACAGGAGTTGAAGTCCAAAACACCTGGAGGGCCAAAATTTGCCCACATTTGTGTTGGAACCATAGAATCAAGGAGTTGGAGAGGACCCCCAGTGCTACCCAGTCCAATCCTATTCTGCCAGGCAGGAAACCACTATCCAAGCTCTCTCAACAGATGGCCAAGTAGGAATAAGGGCCTGGTATCCCATGAGTGACTTAGGACCTTATCACATTGGGATATACTCTGTATCTGAGGCTCTTTGAATGCAATTCCAAAAGGGTCCCATCACATGGCTCGGAGGCAAGGAGATGGGAAGGTTGCTTTTGGCCGCTTTGGGGGGAGACTTGGAGGGGTCTACAGCAATGGCGTCTAACGATTATAGTCAGTCAGCAACACAAAGTTATGGGGCCTACCCAACTCCACCCACACAGGGTTATTCTCAGCAGACTAGTCAACCGTATGGGCAGCAGAGCTATGGCGGATATGGACAGTCAGCAGATACTTCAGGATACGGTCAAAGTAGTTACAGCTCTTCTTATGGACAGACTCAAAGCTCTGGCTATGGCACTCAGTCAACACCACAGGCCTATGGCTCATCAGCAGGATATGGCAGCAGCCAAACTTCTCAGACATCCTATGGACAGCAGTCATCGTATCCCAGCTACTCCCAGCAGCCAGCCAGTTCCACCACTGGAAGTTATGGCACCAGCTCTCAAACCTCCAGCTATGGGCAACCCCAGAGTGGAGGTTATGGCCAGCAATCAAGCTATGGCAGCCAGCAGCAGAGCTCCTATGGGCAGCAGCCTTCCTACAACCCACCTCAAAGCTATGGCCAGCAAAGTCAGTATGGCAGTGGCAGTAGCAGTGGAGGAGGCAGCGGTAGTGGATCTGGTGGCTATGGCCAGGATCAGTCCTCCATGAGTGGAAGTGGTAGTGGAGGAGGCTATGGCAGTCAGGATCAAGGTGGATACGGGGGTCAGCAAGACCGCAACCATGGTAGAGGCAGTGGAGGAGGAGGAGGAGGAGGAGGAGGTGGATATGGCAGAGGTGGCTTTGATCGGAGTGGTGGTAGAGGCGGCAACAGAGGTGGCCATGGAGGAATGGGCGGTGGTGAGCGAGGTGGTGGCTTCAATAAATTTGGTGGACCCCGGGACCAAGGATCACGCCATAATTCTGCTGAACAAGATAATTCTGACAACAACACCATCTTTGTTCAGGGACTTGGTGAAAATGTTACTATTGAGTCAGTAGCAGATTACTTCAAGCAGATTGGCATAATCAAGACAAACAAGAAAACTGGGCAGCCCATGATTAACTTATACACAGACCTGGTCCCATCACATGACATTTGCTCTATTCCAGTGACATCCAAAGGGATACCAAGGGGCTTGTTGATAAAGCTATTGTCCTCCCAACCCTGCTATATGCCTGCGAAACGTGGACGGTCTACAGACGCCACATGCAACTTCTGGAACGATTCCATCAGCGCTGGCCCTCCAAATTCGGTGTCCTGACGGTGGGTTCATAGGTGGCTGTGGAGCCCTATTCTTGATCTGCATCTTCTCCCGCAGTGAGGACATTGGTTTCCAGGTGGAAGGCGGTCTCGGTCGGGGTTGGCTTGACTTCCTCTTGGCACGTTTCTCTCTTTCACCCTCCTCTTCAAATTCTGCAGCACCGCTGGTCACAGATGACCTCCAGCTGGAGCGCTCAAGGGCCAGGGCTTCCCAGTTCTCAGTGTCTATGCCACAGTTTTTAAGGTTGGCTTTGAGCCCATCTTTAAATCTCTTTTCCTGTCCACCAACATTCCGTTTTCCATTCTTGATTTCGGAGTAGAGCAACTGCTTTGGGAGACAGTGGTCGGGCATCCGGACAACGTGGCCGGTCCAGCGGAGTTGATGGCGGAGGACCATTGCTTCACTGCTGGTAGTCTTTGCTTCTTCCAGCACGCTGACATTTGTCCGCCTGTCTTCCCAAGAGATTTGCAGGATTTTCCGGAGGCAGCGCTGATGGAATCGTTCCAGGTGTTGCATGTGACTTCTGTCTACAGACGTCTCACACACACACACACACACACACACACACACACACACACACATATATATATATATACACACACACTAGCCGTTCCCTGCCACGCATTGCTGTGGCCCAGTCTGGTGATCTGGAAAAGTAATGAGAAAGTGTTGGTTTCTAATATATGTAATGTCTTTCTGCTTCAGTATTTCTTCTGTAGGGGTTCCTTTCAAATCTATTATCTCTCTGTGTGTGAATCGTATATATCTCTCTATATCAGTGGTTCTCAACCTGTGGGTCCCCAGCTGTTTTGGCTTTCAACTCCCAGAAATCCTAATAGTTGGTAAATTGGCTGGGCTTTCTGGGAGTTGTAGGCCAAAACACCTGGGGACCTACAGGTTGAGAATCACTGCTCTATATCTATGGCTGGATGGCTCTTTGTCAGGAGGGCTTTGCTTACATTTTCTTGCCCTGATGAAGGGAGTTGGACTGGATGGCCTTAAGTATTTTCTGATGGTCATGGGGGTTCTGTGTGGGAAGTTTGCCCCAATTCTGTCGTTGGTGGGGTTCAGAATGCTCTTTGATTGTAAGTGAACTATAAATCCCAGTAACTCCCAAATATCAAGGTCTATTTTCCCCAAACTCCATCTGTGTTCATATTTGGGCATATGGAATATTCGTGCCAAGTTTGGTCCTGTTCTATCATTGTTTGAGTTCACAGTGCTCTCTGGTGTAGGTGAACTACAAGTCCCAAACTCAAGATCAATGCCCACCAAACCCTTCTAGTATTTTCTGTTGGTCATGGGAGTCCTGTGGACCACGTTTGGTTCAATTCCATCATTGGTAGAGTTCAGAATGCTCTTTGATTGTAGATGAACTATAAATCCCAGCAACTGCAACTCCCAAATGACAAAATCATATTTTTTGAGTGATGGTCATTCCTTGTGTTGTGAGACGTTTTGTTGCCAAATCTGGTGTGATTTCGTTCATTGGTTCTTTTGTTTTTAAGGTACTCATTATGCACAGAGCATTCATATATATATATATATATATATATATATATATATATATATATGCAAACACAAATATACACACACACATAAATACATATATACACACACAAAACACATATACACAGACTGGGCCACAGCAACATGTGGCAGTGGATGGCTAGTATATAGACAGGCAGACAGACATACAATTGTTTCTCCTGATTTTAAAAAATACTGTGTGATGAATGTATTGCCAGCTCTTAGGCTTCCACGTGTGAGTCTGATGGGGAGCCAGAAATCGAAAGGGAACTGCTGACGATATAAGAGGGGTTGATTCTCTACATTAAAAGGACGGTCACCCATGCTTTCCTCTCTTCATGAGATGGGTCCTTAATTACCAGTGGATGGGAAACCCTAGGAAAGGGGCAATACTTGATGGCTTATTTATTTATCGTGTCATCAGCAACCATACCATTGTATTACATCTCTAACAGAACAAAACAAACAAACAGATTAAAAAACCACAAATTTTGCAAACTTGGTAGTTGATTTAAATGTCCTTTGACCAGTATCTGGCCACTTGGAGTGCTTCTGGTGTTGCCGCAAGAAGGTCCTCCATGGTGCATGTAGCAGGACTCAAGGTGCATTGCAGCAGGTGGTCTGTGGTTTGCTCTTCTCCACACTCGCATGTCAAGGATTCCACTTTGTAGCCCCATTTCTGAAGGTTGGTTCTGCATCTTGTGGTGCCAGAGCACAGTCTGTTCAGCGCTTTCCAAGTCGCCCCATCTTCCATGTGCCCAGTGGGGAGTCTCTCATTTGGCATCAGCCATTGGTTGAGGCTCTGGGTTTGAGCCTGCCACTTTTGGACTCTCACTTGCTGAGGTGTTCCAGCGAGTGTCTCTGTAGATCTTAGAAAACTATTTCTTGATTTAAGTCGTTGACGTGCTGGCTGATACCCAAACAAGGGATGAGCTGGAGATGTCTCTGCCTTGGTCCTTTCACTATTGGCTGCTACTTCCCGGCAGATGTCAGGTGGTGCAATACCGGCTAAGCAGTGTAATTTCTCCAGTGGTGTAGGGCATAGACACCCCGTGATAATGCGGCATGTCTCATTAAGAGCCACACCCACTGTTTTAGTGTGGTGAGATGTGTTCCACACTGGGCATGCATACTCAGCAGCAGAGTAGTATAGTGCAAGGGCAGATGTCTTCACTGTGTCTGGTTGTGATCCCCAGGTTGTGCCAGTCAGCTTTTGTATGATATTGTTTCTAGCGCCACTTGCTGGCTGAGCTAGAAAGAGAGGGAGAGGTGGAGGTGTCTTCCTGCCTGGCAGAAGGGGGCTGGACTGGGTGGCCTTCCAATGCTCTTCCAATGCTCTTCCAATGCTCTTCCAATGCAAGTCTCTTCCAATGCTAGGATTTTATGGGACCCTATATGTGGATTTATGCCAGCGATGGCCTTGCACTACACGCACTCTCCACAGAGACTCTGCCACTGTCAGATGTGCCAACGGGGTGGAGGAGATGAAAAGAACATCTTGCTCCGTTCCAACCAGAGACCCACCTGCTCTCCATCTCATCCCTGCACCTTGCCATGACCCCCAGGAGAAATGTAACATTTCCAAATGCCTTGCAGATGTCCCCCCGACTGTCATGCAGGCCTTGGCTGACCTGTGCTTCAAAATGAGCCTTTCCTGGCCAGTCGGGGTGATAACTCTTGTCAGGCCTTCGGCTTCAAAGGGAAGCTCAAGAAGCGGGCAGAAGATGCCGGGCAGGGATAGAAATGGAGCGAGTTTGGAAAGAAGAGAACTTCTCTATCCTTGGCTCAAAATGTCTCCCATTTGAAAGGAGCTTTTTCTCCAAAACAGGAACATTGAGGTTCAGTCATTTGCATAGATCATGTATATTGGAAAAAAGAATATAATACTAAAAAAACAGGTTAAGGGTTATCCTGAATGCACAAGCCTGTTGCTTAGGTCTTGCAAACTCAGTTGTCTTTAGATAGATGACCTTTAAATAATTTATTTTATTTATCGTGTCAGGAGTGAACCAAAACAGTTGTATTGCATTAAAAACAAACAAACAAACATACAAAAGACACAGAGTTTGCAAGCTTGGTAGTTGATTAAATGTCCTTTGACCAGTATCTGGCCACTTGGAGTGCCTCTGGAGTTGCCGCAAGAAGGTCCTCCATTGTGCATGTAGCAGGGCTCAGGTTGCATTGCAGCAGGTGGTCAGTGGTTTGCTCTTCTCCACACTCACATGTCGTGGATTCCACTTTGTAGCCCCATTTCTTAAGGTTGGCTCTGCATCTCGTGGTGCCAGAACACAGTCTGTTCAGCGCCTTCCAAGTTGTCCAGTTTTCTGTGTGCCCAGGGGGAGTCTCTCATTTGGTATCAGCCATTGATTAAGGTTCTGGGTTTGAGCCTGCCACTTTTGGACTCTCACTTGCTGAGGTGTTCCAGCGAGTGTCTCTGTAGATCTTAGAAAACTATTTCTTGATTTAAGTCGTTGGTGTGCTGGCTGATACCCAAACAGGGGATGAGCCGGAGATGTCATTGCCTTGGTCCTTTTACTATTGGTTGCTACTCCTTGGCAAACGACAGGTGGTGCAATACTGGCTAAACAGTGCAATTTCTCCAGTTGGGGACATGAGCAGGGATGGCTCAACCCATTACGCAAAGTAAGCATTTGCAGTATAGTTGATTTCGCCCAGGGCGCTCTTGAGGCACTCTTGGGGGAAAATAGACCTTGATATATACGAGTTGTAGTTACTGGGATGTATAGTTCACCAAATATGGCACACAGAACTCCCATGACGAACAGAAAATATATATCAATGATTGGTTGGGGGGTGGGGAATACTGTTTGCTTACCGTTGAAAATTACCTAGGGCGACCTCGAGACATGAGAGAACCTTCCCCACAGGATTGCAAGACATCCGGGCGTCCCCTGGGCAACGTCTTTGTAGACAGCTGATTCTCTCACTCCAGAAGCGACCAGAAGCTACTTGCAGCTTGCAACCTTTAAGTAATACAAGGAAAGTATATTGTCGAAGGCTTTCATGGCTGGAATCACTGGGTTGTTGTAGGTTTTTCAGGCTGTATGGCCATGTTCTAGAACAGTGGTTATCAACCTTCTTAATGTCACGATCCCTTAATACAGTTCCTCATGTTGTGGTGACCCCCAAGCTTAAAATTATTGTTATTGTTACTTCATATCTGCAACTTTGCTAGTATTATTATGTAAATATCTGATATGCAGGATGTATTTTCATTCACTGGACCAAATTTGACAAAAAAACTCGATACGCTCAAATTTGAATACTGGTTGGGTTGGGGGGATTGATTTTGTCATTTCAGTTTTGTAGTTGCTGGGATTTATAGTTCACCTACAATCAAAGAGCATGCTGAACTCCACCAACAATGGAATTGATCCAAACTTGGCATACCGAACTCCCATAACCAACAGAAAATACTGTAAGGGTTTGGTGGCCGTGGAACTTGAGTTTTGGAGTTGTAGTTCATCGACATCCAGAAAGCACTGTGGCCTCAAAGAATGATGGATCTGGACCAAACTCGGCATGAATACTCAATATGCCCAAATATGAACTCTGGTGAAGTTTGGGGAAAATAGACTTTAACATTTGGGAGTTGTAGTTGCTGGAATTTATAGTTCACCTACAATCAGAGAATTATGAACCACACCAATGATAGAATTGGGTGAAACTTTCCACACAGAACCCCCATGACCAACAGAAAATGCTGTGTTTTCTGACGGTCTTTGGTGACCCCTCTGAAACCCCCTCGTGACCCCCCCKCCGGGGTCCCGACCCCCAGGTTGAGAACCACTGTTCTAGAAGCATTCTCTCCTGATGTTTCACCTGCATATTTGGCAGGCATCCTCAGAGTTTGTAAGCTCTGACCTCACAACCTCTGAGGATGCCTGCTATAGATGCAGGCGAAATGTCAGGAGAGAATGCTTCTTGAACATGGCCATACAGCCTGAAAAACCTACAACAACCCAAGGAAAGTATATTATTCCAATAAAACAGCATCTCCTCGGTTCCTTTGACAACTTTTTCCTATGCGGTGCTTTAGCCCTTCAGAAAGCAGTGGCCCAGTCTCCAGAAAATCTGCAGCTGCTTCGTGCAACCCACCTGTGATTTATGGACCGGCATTAAACGCTTATTGTGTATGACACTTTAAATACCATTTACATCGGAGTTTATACAAGAGAGCCCGAGTTTGGAAACAGTGGAATCTTAGCAGAAAACAGCTGGACCATTTGTTTACAGAATAGACAGGAAAGAATCTCGCATTTGGCTCCGGGATACATGTGTGTGTGTGTGTGTGTGTGTGTGTGTGTACGATACATGTGACTCACCAAGCCAACCACTGAGGAAAAGAAAGAAACCCGACCAAGGGTTGTTTCCCCATCCTTCCCTCTGTTTTACATTTGCCATCTAATTCATCCCTGATGTGGAGACCTCAGCAAGCGAAGTGGGCCATGGACTTGCTCCTCGGCGCATTGCACACCTGCCCAGCAGGCCCCCAAAATGTCAGGTTCCTAGATATTCCCGGCTGTTGGCGAAGGGAGGGAGGGCTCCCCATAGACCGCGCTTGCATTCCGCGTTTCATGTCTAGCATGAAAGACATTGTTGGGAATCATAATAATCGCCCGGCTGCAACCACGTTTGGAGACACACGAAGAACAGAAGGAACGAAGGACAGGCTCGGCGCCGTGATTTATGGCCGCGTGCGCCAGCAATGCAGCTGTGGGCCTGTCTTCTCTCCAAGGCGCTCTGGGTTGCTCCACCGCTGTTCCTCACTTGTGTTTGGAAGACAAACGGAAACTTCCCAGACTCAACCCAAATGCCTACATCTGAGGTTAGAGGAGACACATCCAACCCGTGGAAAACAGTGTTGACCTCCTAATTTTCCATTGATTTGTCGGACTTTTTCTTCTTGGTGTTGTGTGCCTTCAACTCCTTTTTCCCATTTTACAAAATTCATTTTTAACAGGAAAAAGTACAAATAAAGAAAACAGTAGAGTGTGTGCGTATCAAAGAGCGTGTGCGCATGTGTGTATGTTTGTAACTAAGCAGTTACTAGGTGAAGTGGCCCTCTGTGATATCACTGGGAAAGAAAGATGGCATATGTGTGAGGAAAATGGAGGGAGGGAGGGAGGGAGGGAGGGAGGGAAGAGAAGGGAGGAAGGAAGGAAGGAAGGAAGGAAGGAAGGAAGGAAGGAAGGAAGGAAGGAAGGAAGGAAGGGAAAGGGGAAAGGTATGAGGGGAGGAGAAGGAAGGAGGGAATGAAAGAAAGAGAAAGAAAGAAAAAGAACAACATGTGCGTATGTTTGTAACTAAGCGGTTACTAGGTGAAGTGGCCCTCTGTGATGTCACTGAAAAAGAAAGATGGCATGTGTGTGAGGGAAAGGAGGAGGGAGGGAAAGGAAAGGGAAGGAAGAGAAGGGAAGGAAGGAAGGAAGGGAAAGGGGAAAGGTATGAGGGGAGGAGAAGGAAGGAGGGAATGAAAGAAAGAGAAAGAAAAAGAACAACATGTGCGTATGTTTGTAACTAAGCGTTTACTAGGTGAAGTGGCCCTCTGTGATATTACTGGGAAAGAAAGATGGCATGTGTGTGAGGGAAAGGTGTGTGTATGTTTGTAGCAAAGTGGTTACTATGTGAAGTGGCCCTCTGTGATGTCACTGAGAAAGAAATATGGCATGTGTGTGAGGGAAAGGAAGGGAGAGAAGGAGGGAGGGAAAGGAAAGAGAGGGAAGAGAAGGGAACGAAGGAATGAAGAGAAAGAGGAAAGGTATGAGGGGAGGGGGAGGAACGAGAGAATGAAAGAAAGAGAGAGGAAAAGAACAGCATGTGTGTATGTTTGTAACTAAGCGTTTACTAGGTGAAGTGGCACTCTGTGATATCACTGAGAAAGAAAGATGGCATATGTGTGTGAGGAAAAGGGAGGGAAGGGAAAGAGAGGGAAGAGAAGAAAGAAAAAGAAGGGAAGAAAGGACGGAAGAGAAAGGGGAAAGGTATGAGTGGAGGAGAAGGATTGAGAGGATGAAAGAAAGAGAGGAAAAGAACAGCATGTGTGTATGTTTGTAACTAAGCGTTTACTAGGTGAAGTGGCCCTCTGTGATGTCACTGAAAAAGAAAGATGGCATGTGTGTGAGGGAAAGGAGGAGGGAGGGAAAGGAAAGGGAAGGAAGAGAAGGGAAGGAAGGAAGGAAGGAGGAAAGGAGGAAGAGAAGGGGAAGATGAGGGGAAGGAAGGAGAGAATGAAAGAAAGAGAAAGAAAAAGAACAACATGTGTGTATGTTTGTAACTAAGCGTTTACTAGGTGAAGTGGCCCTCTGTGATATTACTGGGAAAGAAAGATGGCATGTGTGTGAGGGAAAGGAAGGGAGAGAAGGAGGGAGGGAAAGGAAAGAGAGGGAAGAGAAGGGAACGAAGGAATGAAGAGAAAGAGGAAAGGTATGAGGGGAGGGGGAGGAACGAGAGAATGAAAGAAAGAGAGAGGAAAAGAACAGCATGTGTGTATGTTTGTAACTAAGTGGCTACTAGGTGAAGTGGCCCTCTGTGATATCACTGGGAAAGAAAGATGGCATATGTGTGTGAGGAAAAGGGAGGGAGGGAGGGAAGGGAAAGAGAGAGAAGAGAAGAAAGAAAAAGAGGGGGGGGAAAGGACGGAAGAGAAAGGGGAAAGGTATGAGGGGAGGAGAAGGATGGAGAGAATGAAAGAAAGAGAGAGGAAAAGAACAGCATGTGTGTATGTTTGTAACTAAGCGTTTACTAGGTGAAGTGGCCCTCTGTGATGTCACTGCAAAAGAAAGGTGGCATGTATGCCGAGGGAAAGAAAGGGAGGAAGGGAAGGAGAAAGGGAGGGAGGGAACTGAAAGAGAAGCTAGAAAAGAAAGAAAAAGAAGGGAAGAAATGAAGAAAGAGAAAGGGGAAAAATATGAGGAGAAGGAAGGAGAGAAAGAAAGAAAGAAAGAAAGAAAGAAAGAAAGAAGGAAGGAAGGAAAGAGAGGGGAAAAGAAAGGAAAGGGAGGAAGGAGGAAAAAGAAAATGGAGGGAAGGAATTTATTTATTTGTTTGTTTGTTTGTTTGTTTAGAGTTTTATAACCCGATCTTCTCGACCTCCGGAGAGGGACTCAGGCCGGCTAACAACAGAGGATTCAATACAGTAAGATAAAGCAAATATACATCATCAATATAAAATACATTAAAATACAGTTCATATCATTTACAAAAAAGTCAGTTCGTCAGAGTAAAATCACAAATTCATCGCCATCCGCCAGTAGGTCAGCAGTTATAGACTCAGTCATCATTCTGCAAATGCAGTATCCCAAAGCCATGTCTTTCTAAACATCAGGAGGGAAGAGGCAGATCTAATCTCCATTGGGAGGGAGTTCCAGAGCCGAGGGGCTACCACCGAGAAGGCCTGTCCTTCGTTCCCACCAAACGCGATTGCGAAAGAGGTGGGACCGAGAGCAGGGCCCCTCCAGAAGATCTTAACAACCTTGATGGTTCATAGGGGAGAATCCATTCGGACAAGTAAATTGGGCCGGCACCGTTTAGGGATTTATAGGTCAGAACCAGCACTTTGAATTGTGCTCGGAAGCTGATTGGCAGCCAGTGGAGCTGACGCAACAGAGGAGTAGTGGGCT